GGGGGGGTGGGGGGGTGGGTGCTGCTGCACCCCTCCAGCTGCTCAGGGGGTCCCCAGGAACCACCCTGGGGACTGTGGCCATGCTCCTCCAACACCCTCAAATATTTAGCTTTGCTTCTGATTTTTCTGTAATTTTTCTATAATTTCATCATGAAAAAAAAAAAAAGCTCCTTTTTGTCAGCTTTTGGTTTCTCCATCTCTCTTGCTGGGTGTGGGCTAGGGCAGCGGGCCCAGAGGCTGCAGTCTTCTCGGGGGGGCTGTGGAGATCACCGTCAGGTTCTGGTGAGGAATGGGAAAAGTTTTGGGGAGCTGTAAATCTGTCTCTCCTCCCTCTCTAGGGGGGATCAGGTATGGATGAGAGGGCTGCATTAAGGGGGTCTGGGGTTGGTTGGCGGTTATCCTGGGATGCTAGGGGGGCTCCTGAGGCCCTAGGGACCACCCTCCCCCTTTCCTCTTGCTGAGGTCCTGAGGCAATTCCCCCCTGATGTGGGGGTGGGCATGGATACCCCCAGCTATCTCCCATACCCCAGCGGCCTGGGTGCAGAGGGTGGCTCTGAGCCCCACTCCTTCCCCCTGACAGCAAACACCAGCTGTCAACCCCCATGTGGGGTGGCCCCAGTCCCCCCCCGTGTGCTCACCGAGGTGGAGGTGTGGGGGAAGCCATGCTCCTGCTCCAGCAGACGAGTGCGGAGCTCCTGCTTCTCCCGTCCCCACCTTCTCGTCGCCTCCTCCAGCTGGGACAGACCCAAACCAGGCTGGCTTTCTCCAAGGTGTGGGGGCCAGAGGTGCCCCCCCACTCCAGCCCAACACCCCAAGCTCCCCACCATCAAGTGGGGTGCGGAGGGTGATGCCCACCTGTCTCTCCAGCACCCGCCTGCGGGCTTGTGCCTCCTCCAGCCTGGCCAGCAGAGAGAGCTTCTCCACACCCCTGAAAACACTCTGCAGGCCGTGAGATGAATAGGAGTGGAGAAAGGCAATGCCACATTAATTCGCCCTTCCCACCCCCTGTTAATGGGGGCAGCAAGCCATGGGGGTGGTTATCACCCCACAGAGCCGGAGGTACCACCTAGGTAATGCTCCCAACATGCCCAGTTACCCCTCAGTGGTGGGAGTGCCATGGCTCTGCCCCCACATCCCAGCCCTGTGCCCCCCTCCCTGGTCTCACCGGCAAGGCTGGAGGATGTGAGGTGATGGGGGGCAAGGAGAGGGGTGACCTCTCCAGCTGTTCCCTCAGCCTGCAGTTCTCGGCCAGCAGTGCAGTGTACACCTCCCTGGAGAGAGCTTCACCTGTGGGATGGGGTGGGGAGGCTACTGGGATGTGTCCTACACCCGCCCCATGCAGGGATGGGGCCTAGGAGCAAGCCCTCGCCTCCCCTGTGGCCAGGGATGGGTGCTGCAGGGCTCAGAACCAGCTCTGCTCTCCCACTTCAGACCATCCTCTGGTGCAACCCATCAGAAGGGAACAGCCACCAGATGGGCTCCCAGCAGCTGTATATGGGTGTCCCCTTCTCGAGGGTCTCCATCTCCACTTGCACCCACCTGATGTCTTCTCAGTGCTCCTGCCCACACCGGTGAGCTTCTCCTGCAGCACCCGCTCCATCGTCTCGATCACCTGCAGGAGAGAGCAGAGCTGGCCCCATGTCACCAGCTCAAGGCTGTGTGACCACCCCCCCTCCCCAGACACTGAGGTCCTGGCACAAGGTAGCACTCATGGAGGGTGGGATGGGCCAGAGGGTCCCATCTCTTCCACTGAGCCTCTGTCCTCCTCACCTGAATCTCATGCCCCTCAACTCACCTTCTCCTGCTGCCTCACCATCTCCTCCAAGCTCTTTGTCTTGGCCACCTTCTCCTGGCACTTTCTCAGTGTGGCTTGCTGCTGCCAGTGAGCTCGCTGGAGCAGCATCAGGTCCTTCTCCCGGTCATTTTTCTGGGGGTAGAGAAAGGGGAAAAGCCCCCAAAGACCTCTGTGCTGAGCCTCAACCCTCGGGGAATCACTTGTAGGGCCGGGAGAGCCTTGTGGTGGGGGTCCTGGGGCTCTCAGGCACTTTTTTGTCTATGGGGATGCCGTGATGCTCTCCCTGCTGCTCCCGTGCTCCTCCATCCCCACTCCGTGCCCCAGGCAGCCCACTCCTGCCAGTGTCCATACCCGGATCAGCTCATTCTGCAGCTGCTGGACACGGTTCTTCAGCCTTCTCATCTCCGCCGTGCTGGCCACCAGCTTGCGCTTGAGGGTGGCTGCAACAGCCCATGCCATGTCCTCATCAGCTGACCAGGGGACGGCACTGTCCCCTTCACTGTGCCAGGGAGAGGGGTCCCCCATTTTCCACCACCCCTTCCCCATCACACACCGAGCCTGTCCAGCAGCTCCTCCTGGGTCATGACGTCCAGGTCCACGTTGGTGAGCAGAGCGTGGCCCAGCTCCTCCTGCGAGGCCAGGCTGCACCGCAGGTGCCTGTTCTCCACCTCCAGGCTGGTGACATGCCGGCGCAGGGACAGGAGGTCCCCCGCCATCCGCTTCATTGCCTGGCGGTAGCTGCTCACCTCCTGTCAGCCCAGAGCAGAGCTGCTGGCACCACGCTGCCAGCCAGGGCTTTCCCCAGCAGCAAGAGTTCAACTGAGGATATTTGACTTGAGGGTCAGACCCACCATGGAGGAGCTAAGAAACATCCAGTTTTTTCCCTTCAACTATCCATCCTTCTCTTCCTCTTCCTACTATCCATCCATCCATCCATCCATCCATCCATCCATCCACACTTCTCCAACCACCCATCCTTCTCTCTTGTTGCTCCAAACCTTCTCCTTTCCATCCACTCACTTGTTCATCCACCCAACAGACACCCCCCACTCCCCATCCCCTTTCCCCATCTCTTCCTACCACCCCCTTGGGGAAAAAACAATTCTTCCAAGGACATGGAATGGAGCACTGTTGGAGCTGGGGGTCAGCCTCAAGCTCTGAGCCTTATGGGGCTTTGCAGGTCTTTAAAAGAAGGGAGGTGGTGAAGAATAATTGAAGGGTGAATGTTTTATACAGACGAGCCTGGGGGATTTTTAACATGTTCTCAGGCTGATCCTCCTGAATTCGTCCCTGCCACCCCAGGCTGGGGAGAGGATCCCAGCAGTGGAGACCTTGGCCAGAGGGAGCCACGTGCCTCCAGTTTCCCTGGCCTTCTGCTCCCAGCCTTGGGGATGGCCTTGGTCAGCAGCCCATGGCGGGGACTGGGGCATGGGGAGGGTGTGCAGCAGCATCACACAGCCTTGGGGAAGCGGAGGGCAGGTGCAGCCAGAGGCTCAGCTCCTTTCTCCCCATCTGCCCGAGAGCTGTTTTACCCAGGGCTTGGTTCATGCCCAAGATAAATCCCCCTCCAGCCAAACTCAAGGGCTGTTCTACCCCCAGACCTTCACTCACTGGCAGCATAGATCTGCCAGCAACTTGGCTTCAGCCCCCAGGGGAGCCAGGACCCACCTCAGGGGAACTGCTCTCCCCCCCATGCCCCCACTGCCTCCCACTCCTCCTGTCTTCCTGGCACTCACCAGCTCCTGGTTGTCCCTGATGATCTCCTGGGACCTGGGGAGCACAAAGTGGGGGACATGCTTGGCCAGCTGCTCCCAACGGAGTGAAACACCAGTGAAGCCTTGACTGAGGAACCCTCCGTAGGAGACAGGAGCCTGTTTGGGGTGCTGGGGTAAGGCAAGTGCTGGTGGGGATGGGGGTGCAGGAAGGTGGAGGAGACGAGGAGGAAGATCAGCAGCCATGGGGCAGGAGAAGCTGCGGGGTGAAATATGGGGAGAATGGAGGAAGGAGGAAATCACCACAAGGAGGATAAGAAGAAGGGGCCAAGAGAGGGCTGAAAAACTGGTGTGGCCTCTGTACCTCCTCTCCTCCGATGGTGCTCCTGTCCCACGTGGGAACGGCTGCTTTCTGGGCAGGATGCTGGCCACGGCATCAGCTGCTGGGAGAGACACATCGTCGTGGTGGAGCTGGCAAGAAACATCAGAGCAGAGGGTGAGGCTGAGGAGCAGACTGGGGAAAGCCCGCTGAGATGAGCAACAAGCTCCTTCAGCCCCTTCCCCACAGCTGAGAGCAGCTCTCTTGGCTTTCACCTGGAGCAAAACACCTTTGCCATCGTTGCTTTGGAATCAGGATCCAGCCCTGCCCCAAAAACCTCTGGCATTGCTGGGTGTGATGCTTGAAGCATCCCACTTCGGGACTTGGGTGCAACATTGTGTGGCTAGAGGGCTGGAAGAGCTTCTACTGAGCATGGGGACATTTAGAAAAGCCTGGCTTTGAGCACCATCTCATGGCTGGACTGTTGAGCCATGCACCCTTGGGAGGAAATTTGGCTTTGACCAAAATCAGCCCCAAGTAGGTGCTGTGCCTCTAACAGGGACCTCTGGGTCCTCGTCTCCCATTGGTGACACCAGCAACAGGGTGATGTCCCCATCCCCACCCACTGCCCCACGGCACTCACAGTGGAGGAGAAAGGTCTGTAGTAGAGCATCATCCCGGTTCCTGGGGTGCCCCAATCCCCCCGGCACCCTGCTCCCAGTAGCTGGCCCTGCCTGTCTGTGGGTTGCCAGGCTCCACCTGCCCCAAACAAACTCACCAGCGGCTCTGCCACCCCCGAGCAAACATCCCGTCCCCACGCCACCACCCGAGCTGCTGGCCAGTAGACTTACGGTGGTGCCAGGGGGTTGTAGCATGAGGAAAACCTGTTTTTCCCAGCCCGTTTCTGCTGGCAAAGGGATTTAGGTGGCTCAGGGGCTCCTGGCAGCATGGCACGCCAGTGGCTGTTGCTACAACACAACTCTCCTCTTAGCAACTCCTCCCTGCAGCAGCTCAGTGCCTAAAATCACCTGGCTGCACTCAGATGGGTGCATTCTGGCAGCTGGCTTCGCTGCTCCTTGCCCCAGGCACCCACATCTCTTCCCCTTTATCATTCCTTCAACCACGGCACATCCCACTGCCGCTTCTAAAGCCATCGGGGCCAGCAGGCAGCTCCTGCCGGCAGTGCAGCCGGCCTGCAAGCACAGCCTCTGAGACGCCAGACCCTCGCTGCCCCCAGCCCTGCCACCCATCCCCAGCCTGGTTTTGGCTGCTATTGTCTTATCTCCTGCTCCCAGCAGTGCACACAGGAGAAGGTGACTCAGTAGCAGCCACTGCGTGGTCTCAGCACAGCTGGGTGGCTCTGGCGGTGACAGGACCTCATTTCCATGCCTTGGATGCGGGCATGGAAAAGCTCTCCCCTCCCAGCACGCTCCTTTGATGTTTCAAATGCTCAATTAACTTCTGAGGACCCACGTCTTGGAGATGCTGGGTGGCATCAGCCTTCAGCTCTGCTTTGGGGTTTGGCCTGATCCCAAGCAGAGAATAATTCACTGAATCCACTGATCAAACCCCACTTTCATCCTGAGATTGAATTTACAGCATTTTAAGGCAATAGGGTGCTCTGTTCCAGAGGTTCCCCACTCCCCCTTTCAGGGTACCCACAGAGGCTCCTGTGTCTCCCACACACTGCGACACCCTGCATCCACCTCTCCTTCGGTGTTTGTTAAGAAACAAAGGGTCCGGTGTAAGTCGATGATGCCCCTCGCTACCTCGTCCCGTGCCATCAATTTTTCATCAAAGAGCCGGTGGAAAACGTGCAATTATCTGCTCCATCAATAATGCACAGGACTGCACTTGGCTCGCCTGGGCTAGGCAGCTGCTGCCTGTGCTGGAGGGTGCTGGGTTCAGCCACGGCTTTTCTAGGTTCAGACAACACCTGCAGAGGCTGGAAAACCATCCCCAGCCTTTAGTCCCAGCTCAACACTGCTCAGACACCCACCATCCCATATTTCTGCCTGCGCTCCTGCTCCCAGCAGGCAGCAACACCCCAGTGCTGCCTCTGGGGCTGGGGGCAGAGTTAAGGGTATTTGACACATTTTCCCCTACACCTCCTATCTCAAATCCACCCGGAGATCGCTGTGTCTCTCCTTCCCGCAGGGGTCCGGGATGAAAGGCTGGGAATCCACATCTGAAATGATGGAAGCTTTGAAGCTCCTGGCACTCACTATTTATTTTATATTTTTTCCTCCCATCCTTTCCAAGCCTCTGAAGCTTCCCCTGCCTTTAGAGCCTTTCATCCACCCCTACGAGCCACCCCCCTCCTTCTCGTATTTGCTTAGGCCAAGTTTTTTTTCTTATTTACTTAACAAATTGCTCTGAGATGCTTTGATGTACCCGATTAGCTTCAACTGCTGGAATCAATTCATCTGTAGATGGAGCAGCATGGAGCAAAGCGAGGAGGGGGGACTAGCAATAAATCTCCATGGGAGACAGGAAGGTCCAAAAGTGGCCAAAATTAGAGTGTGCCAGAGGATTCTGCATCTGCATGGCATGGCCTGACCCCATCTCTGGCTGGGGAGGGGACAGCAATGTACCCCAGAGAGAGGCTGAGGACAGGCCAACTCATTTTACTTGTGAACAGAGAGGCAATTGAGCCCCTGGCAGCGCACCAGCCTGTTCTGCAACACAATCTCTCTCCAGCTCAACAAATAACATGTCCCTGGATGAGTATTAAGCCCAATTCCTTAATTGTTATGAAGATGGGATAAGCTCAGATTTACATATCTGAGAAAATTGCTGCAGCAGCTTAGGAAGATCAGAGGGAAAAAAATCCCATTTTCTCCTCTTTTCTGTAACAAAAGCTCATGAAACCATCAGGAGATAGTGACGCTTTCATTTGCTTTGCTGGATGTCCCCATCAACCTTCGCCTTGGGACACGGGCACTGGATGGGACTGGGGCAGGACATCAGGTCCCCAGTGCCCCCCCACCCCTCCCTGGGGACACATCGTTACCCAAAATCATCCTCGGGACAACATCTGGGTGGACACATGGGGTGGGGTTTTTTTTTTTACCCCTCTGCTTCCAAAATTAGTGTGTTTCCCTGGGGACCCCCAACACACAGGGGGTTTGCAGGTCCCCCAGGGGAAATACAGAGATTTTTACCCTGATCGCTCCCCACACACCTTGGCAGGATGCACCAGCCAGAGAAAGGCAGCAAATAAGCAAGGTTTTATCTGATTAAACCAAGGTTGAACTCTCTTCCCATGCGTCAGGGCTAGGGGAGGGGGCTGTGCTGGGAGAGGTATATTAGCCAAAGCATTACAATTCAATTTAAGAGTTAATTGGATTGCATTGAAAAGCGCTTAATCTGAGCCAAGTTTGATTTAATAGAGACACCACATCTCGTGCTCCCTTCCTAACCAGGATGATGATTTTAGGGCGGGCGATTACCATCACTATCCAGCTCTGGGCCCAGCTGCCGGCTGCTGATATCGTGTCGTACAAGGAAATAAAAGCCTCTGGATTACACTGGGTAACATGAGGAGGCAAGATGCTTGGTGTAGAGATGACTGCTCCTCCAGCTCCCACCCGCCTGCCTGCTTCTTCAAGATAAGGCTCCAGAAAGCAGTCGTGCCACCAGCAGGGACTGTGATTCCTCTGCGAGTCGCTGCTGGTTTATTTTGCTCAAAGAAAAAGGAAAAAAAAAAATCGGCAACTAGGAAGAGGTGGGATGACTTCTGAGAGCAAACTTGGGCTGGGTCAGTTCTTGGTTCCTGAGAAAAAAAATCCTTCCCCACCCCACTGCACGGGGCTGCTTGTGGGAGGGATGGGGACAGCTGGAGTGATGTCCCCAAGTGATGTCCTGCTGCTGACCAGGGGGAAAGGGAGGAAGGGGAGGTCAGCAGAGCCTCCCAGGCTGGGTCTCTCCTCCCAGCACAGGTTGAAGCATCCTCCAGTGCTGCTGCTCACCCATGACTACAAACTGGGGCCAGAACTAAAAAAGCCCCCTCCTGAGATCAAAAAATGAGGGAAACAGGTTACAACTGTTACCCTGGGTTCCTGCTGGGTCTCTGAGTTTTTTCTTCCTTCTAGGAAAACATCCTCATCTGTGTTTTAAGATAAACACGTTTCCAGCAGCTGGAGATATGAAGAAGTGGAGAAATATCACACAAAAAAACCCCCAGTACTGGTGGGAAACTTGGCAGCACTTGGCAGCTCCCCGAAAAGTCTGGTTTCCAGGCATACCTTTTAAAATCTGTGCATGGGACCTGAGTTAAACACCCTCCCCTAGCCCCACACTATTTCTGTTCTCTCAAAGCATAGGGGATCTAGCTTTGAAAAATAAGTGGCTGAAGAGGGCTAAACCCCAAGCATCCCCACCACCCCTGGTGGCAAGCGCTGCCGTGACTTGCCCTTGGCCTGGCAAGTGGTTTATTGCTGGCGCTGTGGCCATCCATTTTCATGTTTGCTTATGTATTGACTCGATTTGCTGATAAAACTCCCCTTGCATGTCAGCAGCAAGCATAAATCCGTCAACACCCCAAGCCACTGCGCCGAGAGCACCCAGTGCTGTGCAGCACTCGCTGCCCTGAGCACCCACCACCCTGAGCATGTCCCCCCAGCCACTGGGCCCCATCCTTCATTAATTAGCACCGGGAAAGGCTGAGAATTCGTTAAATGAGGATGGATGAGCCCTTCTGTGCTGTGTTCACCGGGGGTGGAGTAGTGCTGCAGGGACTGGGTTGGAGCAGGACACACAAGGGTGTGAGCATGCCAATGCTTGCACCCCCCAACACACACAAAATGGTATTTTGGAGGCAGTTTTCTCTTTTAGCCCTGCTCTGGCTCACTGATGGGGTCCCTGGTCCATCTCCCCCACAGTCACACCCATGGCCACCCAGACCCAAGCAGGAGAAGCACATGCAAAGCCCACCAAGCCTGACCTGTTTCCCACCCCTGCTCAGAGCCTGGATCACCCCCACCCCCACCCACCCCCGCAACGTAGCTGCAGCACTCAGACCATTTGCAAAGCCCCCAACCCCCTCCCGGCCTCCCCCCACCCCTCCACCATTGGGTCCTGGCCCCTCCAGCACC